ACTCTTTTCTTTCTTTATAATCTGAGTGCTTCAGAGATCTGTTCTCAGGCATCAAAGTCAAACATACCTTCATTTCTCTTCTAGCTTGAAAGATTTCTGGTTAATCGTTGTACTGTCAGCCAGTCTTGGCCTTAACTCTTCTTAACCAATTTTCCTTTTCGCAGAATTCCATATTTTTTGCGTTTTTGGTAAACGAAGAATTTACAAGACATAAAAAGTTTTAATTCAATTTTTCTCTTCCCAATTCGACCAGCGGTCAGCCGAGAACCAGAGTATGCTACATGACAAACCACATGAAGTGTCCGCATACTCCTGTCTCGGATATCATCTTCTAGTAAATGTAAACTGCATGGATTGTGGACGGAAATTTTCAAATATCGTGTTTTGTTGCCTAATCCATGTTTCCATTTCATAATTGCCCTCCACAGCCAAGAGAACTGCAGTGGTGAATTCAACATCTATAAGCGAGAGGTCAACTTTTGTGACCTTGACAACGTCGATGTTTTTGCCAACCAGGACGAGTGGAACCCGAACACTCCCGAGTACCTTCACCACTAATCGCACTCTTGTCGTTAGCACTTCTGGAGGAGTTGATAAATCGAGTGTGAACATTTCGTCTACCCCAAAAAGCACAACAACTACATTCCTGTTAAGCTCAGACTCATCACGTAGTCCTTTTCAATTTTCGAGCGTGGTTCCAAGCTCTGTGTTGAGTCGTAGCTTGACGAAGTTACCAAACACGTCAGTTGTGACAGCGTCTGCAAGTTCTGAAGTTCGCTTGAATTCCACCGCCCTTTCAAGATCACAAGAAAGATCTTCGGCCCTGACAAGTGCTGTTACGCGACTTGGGAATTCGTCTGTCTCTCCTCAAAGAAGTTTCTCGTCTAACGCGACGCAAGTTATGCTTTCTACACAAACAGTCTCATCAACAGTATTTGTGGCAAATTCCTCGTTAGATGTTCCCAGCTTAAGTAGAAGTGTCACCAATACTTCTTCGTTCGTTCTGCCGAGCAGCAAATCAATTTTTCGTTCTGCCACCGTTTTGCTGCCCAACACAAGCAGTTTAGTAGCTGATTCCAAAACAAGTGTTACATTTTCTAGCGCTCTCACATCTGCAGAAAGTAGTGTGATGAACACGAGCAGTTTAATTTCCACAGACATTAGCACAGTCTTGAAGTCAACTTCTCTGCTAACCAGTGCCATATTTACGGGAAACAGAACAGTGATATCAACTACGGAAGTCAGCCTAACTACGACCACTCCCTTGTTGAACTCAAGTTTGGTTACGTCAACGTTGAAGTCACAAAACTTGACGACTGCTATCAGCGCAAGTAGCATCATCAAGTCGAGCGAAGTGTTGCAAAATTCAACAGCAGTGTTAAGTACAATTGCGACTGTTTCTCCTAGCTCCAGTGCCCTTGTTATGAGTTCTTCATTTCTTCTGGCAAGTTCAACCTTTGGAATTAACAGCACCCTAATAGCCACGATGATACCAACCTCAGTCACATTAACACCAATCTCCATCACGGTGGTACCAACATCTGCTACAGTAATACCAACCAGCTCACCAGTTCAAAATGCGTCAAGCTTTACAAGATCAGCGTCTTCAAGCTCTGTGAGTACACTAGAACTTTCACGGAGCACAATGCAGACGGAATTTAGCATTCCTGTGAATTCCACACAGAGTACACGCACGCTTTCACGTAGCACGCGTGTCCCGCACTCCAGCAGTAAAGTTTTCAATGTCTCAAGCAAGATTCCCAGTTCAGTCCAGCCGAGTGTCACAGTCATACCCACATCAAGACCTCAAGTGAACAGGATCACCAGCATTCTGAAAACCAGTGGTAAGACACCAGTGAATTGTTTGCACATCAAGCACTTTAATGTTATTGAACACTGCACTGAAGTTACAAACAACTCGCCATACATGGACGTTTTTTAGAGATCTTTTAATTTTCTCCACTAACTTTCCTTTCTGTACAAACATACATTGTTCTTTGTGGTGTTGGATTGTCGATGCATTCCGTCTAACTCTTGACGCATACGTTATGTCGGCGTTCATTTCTTCACCCTTGTTGGGGGTGATATCGCTATTCTTTTAACTCCTTTGCTCTCTTTTCTATTCAATCTGGTTTATACTTTTCCTCCTGTCGCTTTATGAGTTGGAACATATACTTTACATTGTTATCCATTCACTGTGTTGGGGAACATACATTTAATCATAGGATGATGTGCTTCGCAAGTTTACTTCCTTGTTCTCCCTGTAATGGCCATGGTAATAGTTTTATATTCAGTGGCATAAGTCGTCTGTTTACTCAAATAGACTTCTTCTCCCGTGACACTTTGTTGTTTATTGTCCCAAGGTTTAACAACTGTCACGTCACACAACGCAACTGTAGTGACACTTAGAAGCACCCTAGTGAAAATGAACTCTTCCACTGCACCAAGTTATACAACTGTTGGAGCAAGAATGACTTCTGTTAGATTTTCGTCACCGCAAATCAAGAGCACTGCAAGCACACTGAGTAACGCTTCAGCTGTCACGCTCTCAAAGCGAAGCACGGTTGTAGTTACAAATTCCATTTTTGTAGGATCATCGTTAAGTTCTGAAGGCACGCAAGCCAATTCCATGGTTAATACAAGTTTGTCGATGACATCAAAGAGCTCGGTTGTCACTCAAAGGAGTAGTTCAGATGTGATTCAGAGTAGCAGAACTGTTTCTCAAAGTACTTCAATCAACCGCATTGTCACACCACCTCGTGTCTCCTATTCGTCAGTCAAAGTCACGCCTTCATCCTCAGCTGTTTCTACAGTGCGGCCATCAGAACTTTATTCTTCGTCTGTAATAGGTTCATTAAAGACAAACACTAGTACAGTATCAACCGTGACATCAAGAGTGATGATAACCGTGACATCCCTAGCAGCGCCAAGCGTGACTTCTGATGTGACATCAAGGGTGATCAAGAGTCACGCTTCTAGTTCCCAAACAGAGTTGATTGTCACGACACTCCTCTCCAAAACATCCTCAGTCACTGTTGTGTCCACCATTCCACAATCGATTTCGCTACTGTTTTCTTCGCTAGGGTCGACAGCGACATCAATTTTCAGCGTGATACAATCCTCCAATCAGCTGTCTTTGAAGACAGCGTTACCGTCACGAAGTCTGACCGTGGCTACTCTAGCCTATGAATCGGCAAGTTCAAGAACTTCATCAGCCGCAAGACTACTGACTTCAAGTCCACGGATCTCAACACCTCTGGATAAAACAACAAAGATGACAACAGCAAAAGAGGTCTATACCTCAAGAGAGACAAGCAAAGCATTCCCTTCTACAACCCTGGAGACCTCGACCCGTAGAATAACCTCGATGACATACAAAACGGCAACTTTCTCATCTCCTTTCTTGGAGAAATCCACTGTTTTAAGCCGCTTTCCGACGATCTCATTAAGTACAATTTCTTTTTCTTCAAGTAAGTCTGGCGTCATTCTAAACAGCTCTTATAGAAGCTATTCCAGTTTTAGTTCTGTAAAATTGCCAAGTTTCATTACATCCGGGACTTTCATCAGTACTGCCTCGCTTCCATTATCGCGCGTTAGTCTCACCCGTCACGTCACCTTTTCTCGTATCACCAAATCACGAAATCTTCTGTCACGCTCACGATTCTCCACTTCACTTCTTTCTACTGCGACTTTTTCTCAAACAGCCTCACACACCTACACCACACCCACCGCTCCAAAGCAAAGTCCCGGTATAGTTTCATCGACAATAAGTTTCCGTGCAATTAGCATTTCCCAAACTGTGGTTTTAGCTGCAATCCCCTTGTCCAAACCGCCAGATTCTAGTAGTGTTACGTTTGTCTCTCGTACTTCTAAATATTCCAGCTTTTCTTTTCATTTTTCTTCCATTCTAGGTACACTTCGAAGTAGCTCTGCTTTGTTTTCATCGAACACGACTCCGTCTGTATCAGCGACAGGCACGACCCAGACAGTCAGCGTGCTACCTACCTCATCTGTACCAGCCACTGCGCCGCCAACATCGCCACCCAACCTTCCCCCGCTACTTCTTAACAACATAGGGCGGGTACGAGCTCCTGCGGGTAAGGCCCTGCAGTTCATAATACCCAATGACACGTTTTACGACAGGGAAGACCGGGTGACCACGCGTAACTTGACTCTATCGATGACCCTTGCAAATGGTTCGAGCATTCCGACAGACTTTTGGCTACAGTTTGACATTGCCAGTCAAACGATAAACGGATTACCGCTGGACGAGCATGTCCCTGATGGAATTTTGGGTCAGGTGTTAGTACTGCGGGCTCGAGATAACGACAGCGCAGAGACTTTTGATGCGTTTGAGGTTCTTGTCGTTCCTTCAGAGAAACCAGTCGCACAGGAATTGAGGGTCAGAATAACCAACGAATTTGCCACGTTTAATCTAGCCTTAAGGCTCGCGCTACTGAAGAAGATTGCTGACTATTACGACGACGCGGACGAATCGAAGATAAGGGTGTTGAAGTTCTCTCCCGGATCTGTGATCATGACCTGGACGAATGACTCGTTGCCAACAGACAGCTGTGACGAGGAAAAACTGCAGTTCGTCACAAACAAGATGCTTCTTCCGAACGGCGAAGTAAGAGAGGAATTCAGGGAAGCGTTACAAGGCTTTCCCGTTGTAAGCGCGAGCGAGGAACGATTTGGCGTTTGTAACGGATCTTTCATCGCTCCAACTGAAACCCCGATCGACCCTGCTCGAAAAGAGGCCAGGGTGGAAGAAAACTTGTGGTACAAACACGTTCTTGTAGGCCTTCTTATTGTTGTTATTATCATCGTTCTAGCGGCCTTGCTGTTTTGGTATTTAAGGCGACGAAGACCGAAACCTTCGAGCGAGAAACGCACGTTTAAGAAGCGAAAACCCATCGTTTTGGGATCAGAGATTGAACTTAAACCATTGCCTGGCAAACCGCTTGTCCTACCCGACGATGATCCGAGTCTGCCTCCATCGTACATCTCGGAAACCTCACTCAACAAACCAACGTATTCTGATGACGAGGACGAAGAGGATTATGGGAAGGGGAGCCCTTCTGTTGTGTACGAGCCTCCCCCACCGTTTTATCTAACGCAAGATGACGATCCTCGGAACAGTCCTCCGCCCGCGTATTTAATGCCCCCGATGAAATTCCCTGAACTTCCGACCAGAACTTTTGGTCGAATGGAAAGCGACGCCTGATGGTTGTCTGAGCCCGCAGTCTTTTCGACAGAGATATTGCTAAGCAACACGCACTGCAGTGCATTAAACTATAAGAATCGATCGGAAGCCCGCTCGGGTATTTCCCGAGGGTTTTTTCTTAATTTACGCTTTAGTTAGCTTAATATGGCTTAATATAACCTACTCAACCCCAAAGTTTCAGCTTTTTCAAAATGGCATCCGAAAGATACATTGTCTCATAATGTAAATAATGCCTTTAATGTTTTTTAACTAAGACAAAAGCTGATTCTTATCGAGCGAAGGAGCGCATTTGTACATAGATTACTCCTGTTTGACTTAGCTAGGTACAATATAATGAATTGAATGAAACCCTTGAGCACTGTAACGTTTTTCTGCAAATACTCACGTCTTAGAAACCAAGCAATCTCCCTTTTGCTCGCAAATCCGCGGGAAAGAACGCAAAACATGAAATCGGAGGGGTGAGCAGCAAAGATCCGCTCTATAAAACCAGAGCAGTCTCTTTTTGCTCTTGTTTCCATGCTAGCGCTACTCGCGGCTACGCCGGGTAAATGGCTTTGTTCCTCTCGTTTTTTGCTGGCGCTCTTCCCCGCGGATTTGGGAGCGAGAGAGAGAGACTGCTCGCAGTCTGCTCTTCTTGGCATAGTTCTAAAAGCCTCTCTTCTTACCTGGGAGTAGCGAGGTGATTCTCTTTGCACGCTAGTCATGATCATGTCTTTACCTTGATATTAAACCGACAACAGTTGTGGGGGGCTGGGCAATTTATAGAAAACATTAATGAACAGGTAAAGCGAGCCAAGACAAGGAAAACTGAGAACGAAAAAATCCTTCCTGCAGTTAGAAATTCTTACTCTGTAAAAATTTGCCCAACCTCCGCCCTCCTAAAAATTATAACGGTGCAGCAGATTGTAACCAATCATGCAGGATAAGTTTCTCGTCCGCTAGAAAAGCCTACAGGCTTCAACGCGCAGCGATCGCGCTGGCCTCCCCCTCAAGTTAGAGGAGCGCAAAACCGCGCCCTTATAGACCCTTTTCATAAATGGCTGCCAATTATAAATTCTTTTGTATGTATTTAAATTAGCCTG